CTCCCCCATTCATTTCCCTGCTCTGCTTCTCTGCAGTAAAAATGAGGAATTTGAGCGAAACGACTTGCGCATTCAGTGCATGGCCACAGTGGAGTGTGTGAAGACACACTCACCAACCAGCATTACCTCCTTTGATGTATAGTGGGCATAGAGGGGAGCTTTAGGGGCTAGCATGGCGTATCTGTGCACAGCTTTTAAACAATGGTTGAAACGTAATAACATTGAAATCCTTTGGGGCTCTACAGTCAAAGGAGTACTTTGATGAACGTGCCTTACAAGACAAAAGATCGACCGTTCGCGAATACAAATGTATTTTGTCAAATACTTCCCAGTATTAATACATGTAAATTGGGAAAAAATAATAATGTCACTTGGATAATCCTTTTCCACACTTGGAAAAAGAATATTTAAGACTTGTAACTTGTAATGTAGTCAACCTGGTTTACATTTGAACTTTTGCTATTGCTAATATTTAAGCTAATCAGTTAGCTCGCTTTAGCTAACACCAGGTATACAGGCACACAGGACAAATTGTTATGATTCTGTTGATGCAGCTAAGGGAACATTAACCTACACAAGTCATGCGACTGTTGATGGACTCAAGAGATGAGAGTACACTGTCGCTGAATGACGGGATGACCGATGCATTCATTGAGGGAAGAAAACAGAAAAGGAAAGAATGACTGGTACAGAAAGGAAAACAAAATGAGAACAAAACACAGCGATATTGAGGTCAAAGGTCTGTTGCTCAAAACGCTGCCTCAGCTATTGCCCCAGCTTTGGATAGAGAGGCTGGTGGATGCGGTTAAAGTTTCATGAGATTGAAACTTAAATCTCTTTTTGCTTTTGACAAAAAGGAACAAGCTGCCATCTCGTTTTCACTATGTCTCCATTTTGTGTCCCCGTTTTATGACTCATCTCCTGCTGTAGGTGTCAGAACTGCCTGTCATTATCAGCCGCATAGACAAATACACATACATTCTCTTATAAATAGGAATGTAGATGTACAAGAACACACGCTATTCATGCAAGTGTTAAAGGCAAATGTGGCCTCGGACTCAAGCACAGAAGTTAATCAGCATATATTGTAATGTTCGTCATTCTTCATACTTAGATTGATACAGTATACTGTATGGATATACAGTAGTAATGATTTGCCAATAAAAAAAACAAAAAAATATATTTAACAGAATAATAAAATGAAATTAATAACCATCATAATAATTAAATAAAAATTACGCCCTGAACATTTTGTTTTTTTTACCGCTCAACTGGTCCTTAATACAAAAAAAGGTTGGGGACCACTGCTTTAAAGCAGATAAACTACTAAACAACAGACAACCTATTCAGTCCTTAGTCATTTTGGTAAAAAGGTGAACTGTAAAACACCACCGTAGATGCTTTAACAGAGCAGCTGTACAGACGTCATTGTGACATGATGCTGAACACAGCGTCCTTGAAGACTACGTATTTGACCTAGCCTTCAATTGAGGACCGCTCGGCACAGTGCTCACGGTGTATCCATCATTTCCCGAGACATTCAAGACAAAACGGGCGGTTTTCATTCTTTGTCTTTGCCATTTTTTTTTTCTCCATCGTCTTCGGCCCAGAATGTGAACCCCCCCCCCCCGGAGGACAGACAGGGCAGAGATGGTCACTACCACTGAAGTCTGTAAATTGATCTGTTCATGAAGGTAGATCATCATGTCAGAGAGTAAAGAGAGAGGGAGGTGACGAGGGCTGGTGGGCGGCCCTGCTGCTTATTGTAACCAATGTGCGCATTAATGAATAACTGACTGACTGACTGACTGACTGTATGAAAAATAAATAAACACAATTTATGGATGTGTAAGTGTACGCTGTGAATGAATGTGCAGTGATTAGAGGTCGAGGCGACTGACCTTGCTCTATGTGGCACCCGTACACTGTGGGTAGCCAGCCACATCCATCAATCTCACAGAACATGCACACACGTGCATTACTCCCAGACGCCACCAAGGGGAGCTCTGGAGCTGTGATGTTGTTAGCCATGCACCATGCCCATTTATCCACGCCCCTCCCCAATTTCTTTTCTCTAGACTCTTGGCAGAGTGTCCCCATCACCTCACCCAATCCTGTCTGCCTCACTTTATCCTACACAAAACTGAAAAAAAATAAATAAATAAAAATAAAATCACGAGAAAGATGGTGAACATAGAGCAGGAGAGAGTCGTTACAGCGGATGGAGGGACTTTCATGTCCTCTGTATTGAGTTCCTGCAGTGGTAGACGAGCATGACATTAGAAGAACAACAGATAGAGAGAAGGAGACTAATGTGGCTGCTTGAAAACATCAACCAGATTTCACCGTTGTCGTCACGGTGGTCCCCTATTACTGCAGTAAAATGTATATGCCTGTGTGTATTAATATTAATTTTTAAAAATATTATTATTTAATTATGCACAGTTAATATTTTTGAGAAGTAAGGCAAGGTAGGTGGAGATAAGTGTTAGACCCTTTTCTCGGGTGTATTGGGCACAGTCATGGTAGTGACATTAGACACTGTGCAACAGAGCCCTCAAATCATCATCATCAAAAAAACAAAACAAAAAAAACCTTATTGATCAGTAGGTATCAGTTCAGTGAGTAAACACCGTGTCAGACGAGGTCAATGTCGTCAATACCTCGACTCCTTGTGTCTCTCAGCGCGGCTGCTCCGATGCGAATCGAGAGAGCTCTTTAACACTTCAGCTTCCTGTTAAGTCAATTAAACGAATCCTCCAGGGTTTCAAGCTGATTATGTACGAGTTAATGAAGACTTCCTTGACCATCTGATGTGGGCGGTTGGTTCCAGTGGTGTACGACCGGAGTACCATACACGCAAGCTTATTAATTTCCCCTCTATAAAAAATATCATAGCAAATGTCAGTGCAACTGCTGTATTCCAGGAATTGTATATGTGTAGTGAGATTAACGAACCAATAAAAAAATGACATTTCACAGCAGGGGTGTCAATCTCATTTTCACCAGGGGGCCACATCAGCAAAACAGTTCCCCTTGAAGGGCCAGTTGTAACTGGAAGACTGTAGAGATGTAACTACTCCATAAAATATTAATATATTGATTCATATTTATTCAAATTACAAATATTGTGCATTTTCCTGTGCAATAATAATCAAGTTAAAAAAACTCAGCAGCATGGACGTTATTATAAGGCGATTAAACACTCCCGCGGGCCACACAAAATGACTTGGCGGACCACATTTGGTCCACGAGCCTTGAGTTTGACACGTGTTTTACAGTATGATACAATTGATTCTACTGACTGTACAGGATTTTTGTTCTTTCTTTATAACTGAAATGCCATTCTGCGGTCCTGTTACTAACTCCTTGACGGTCTACGTATTACTGTAATAGGCACTGGAAGCAGATGGGTACTGAAGAGACAGCCTGTGTGAAAGGCATAATAATAATAATAGCAATAATAATAACGTATCATTTGAGTGTGTGTACAAGCCAGTGTCACTCGTTTGCCTAATGATCATTATGGTGCAGTTGGTGGGAGGCGGCTATGCTTGGGATGTAAATCTCTCGAATGCCGCCGGCTTCCAAAAATTCATTAGGCCAGTCCCACTCTGCTGATCACACTTAGTTGTACAGCATTGCATATTTGACCCCGACCATGTTTGGGTGGATGTCTGGGATGGCTTTTGTCTGATCATTTCCTCAGGCAAGTGCCGAATATCCTAATAAAATATCACTTCTACAGATCTTGGGCTATTTCCATGTCTGAGCTACTGTATTAAAATAAATGCCGTATGACCGGAACTGCTGAGTTTAGTCGGCATGGATATCTCACCATGGATATCTCACATAATTTCAAAGCACTTAGTTCACATTAGGAATCACTCTGCTTTCAGGCCATAATTTCAAAGCACTTAGGTCACATTAGGAATCACTCTGCTTTCAGGTTTTTTTTTTCCTTTAACGAGGAAAAGTTCAATATTCTAAAGCTCAAATCATGTGCTTTAGAATATTGAACTTTTCCTCATTAAGAACAAAAACCTGAGAGCAGAGTGATTCCTGTTTTTTTCTCTTCTTTAGTCAAAATTTCACCTTTATTTTTGTTTTCTGCAAATAAACACTAAAAGGCTGATGCCCTGATCTTTGTGTTAATGTATTCAGATCAGGCTTTTTGGCAATTTAGGCTACTTATAAAGGCCATTATTAGGTCCGACAAGACATTAATTCCAATTACGATTCCGAAAAAAAAAAAAAACCTGCAAAGAAGTAAGTACAGCCAGTGTAAGTAGAATTGATCGTATCTCATTGCTGGTATCTGCAAGTACTAGTTGATGACCTGGAGCGTTCGGAGAGCAGACTGTATGTGCATATATTCCAAGCGCAGCTATGCATGTTTATCGATGAACGCCGCCGACGTGCAGACACAAACTGATTCATGCTCATACGTTCACGCTGCAGGTGCTCTTTTGTTTTCCATTAGTAACGATTAAAGATTTGTAAAGATGTGTTGGGTAATTTGTTCGGAGAGGGTTTTAAGTGCACTGTCACCCTTGATAAATTGGGGTGCATTCTAATTGTGTAGCCTTAGTGCGTTCGGTGCATTCAGAGAGCGCGGCAAACTTTGTGGTTGCATTCTTTAAAACAATACACACTGCGTCCTTTGCGAGGCCTAAAATATGCATAGCTGTGGTTGCTTTCCTTGTAAAATATATAAAACTTAGAGATAATATTGCGTCGCTGTCAATTGAGTGTGTTGCTTGTTAACATTCGGCCTCAGAATGACCTCTGAAAATAAAAGCTTTTTAGACAGACATGAAGAAAAGAAGCAAGGTTTCTGCAGCCTGCAAAGAACAAACCTTAGGTAAATGTGACCAAAAGCAACAACAGGGAACAGAAGAAAGTTTAGAGAAAGAGAAAACAAAAGTTCTACAGTTAAAGCAGCAGAGATAAAGTGACACCATGCTCTAAAAAAAAAACAAAACGGGTCAAGTGCTTACCTGACGCAGGTTGCGGGTGACGCGTACATCGTGCCAGGCATTGTCATTGAACTTGCCATTGACGGGCTCCACCAGGGCCTCAAAGGCCCCCGAGCCCAGATTTATGACCAGCCACACTGCGCCGCTCTTCAAAGAAAGGTTCACGTAGTCGGCCGACTTCCCGGTGTGCAGCATGAGGCCGTTACGTTGCAGGGTGCGGAAAGAGAGAGTGATCTCGTCCGTGCTGCTCTGAATGGGGGTCATCGACAGGTCGTAGCAGAAGAACTCGTTGCCTTTGAAGGTAGCCACAGACTCATCCTTACCTGTAGATAAAGAGAAAGGGAGAAAAAGGATTTCAGAATAACGAGGAGTCGATCTGTGAATATTCAGTTTTTCTACAACACTGCCGGCATATGTCAAACTTAAAAATAAAAATAGAACTAGATGGAAAGTTACTAGGATTGAAAAGGTATTTTCATGACATGTTGGAACAATTAGCTACATTAGTCTAAAAATTTGAAAAAGTCAAGTCCAGAGCCCTGTGGGACACCCCAACAAATTACTTGGTGTTCACTAAAAGGAAACAACTGGATCCTCCCAACATTAAACATTAATCTAATGTGACATTTAACTTCCTTGGTTCATTTGGCCTTCTCAACTTTTTTTTTTTTCTGAGGAGGAAAGAACCTCAGTCAATGAGAGTTTGAGGCTAAATTATAAGAAGCATCCAGGAAAGGGTTACTCTTATCCAAGGATGTCAAACTCATTTTGGTTGAAGGGCCGCATACAACCTAATTAGATGTCAAGTGGGCCGGACCAGTACAATCATAACGTTATTACCGACATAATTTCAATGTTTTTCTCCAAAAAAGTACAAATGTATCAAATAAATCATTACTATTTTACCAAACATTTTCTTAACATGAAGTGGTTGTGTTTTTTTATTTTCAAAATTCATCAAGCAGGCCAGATTGAAACCCCAAGCGGGCCGGTTTTGGCCCACAGGCCGTACTATGACAACCCTGCCCTAACTCTACAAAGCCCCCCTGCACGGGCAGGTCATCAAATCTACTTTAAGTTCCATTACAACCAATTCAGTCTTAGACCTTAGTTCATGTCTCCTGGCGGCCAGGGGCATGACCAAAGGTGGTCTTCGGGTAGACAACTTGAAAGGCCAAGTTCACCATAGACACTTTGTCATACTGTATGTACAAGGATACGAGCACTGACCACTGTCAAGATTTGATTCTTATTTTATTAAAACCAAATCGTACATTTGATGATTTGAAGTTTGAAATGATCAAAAGACGTATAGGGATTGCCTCAGTCTGGAGGTCACGTGATCATTTTCTAGGTGCACGGACACACAAATCTAAGAAGAAGATGGTGAAAAACAGTAAAGCAAAGAGCAACTGGCACACAGACAGCTACAGCTACTTAAAGGGCATTTTGTCTGAAATCGAAATTTAGAGCAATCTCAACTGAAGTGTGAATTGCCGCTGTGAAAATGCATCAAGGAGAAAGAAAGAGACTGAGAGGAAAGAATGACATTGAGGAGCGGGGAAAAAAAAAAAAGAAAGAAAAGAAAATCTCCCCAGAGCAGACTAAAAGCGCAGTAAATGGACCACAGCAACCATTTTCAATTATGTATTAAAGCCAAACCCCTATACCCCCTCCCTCCCCCCTTAATTGACTTTTAACAATAAACAACGAACAGTTTCCAATTGATCCTGAGAGCTGGGCGGGATTGGACAAAAGGCGTTGAAGTCACGAGGGGAAAAAAGAAAAAAAAAACTTGCTTTGTTTATGTCTGTTTAATGAGCAAAATGGCTGACAGGGAGAGATAAAGCTCGCTGTCGTGGTGCCAAAAATGAGCTGTGATCATTTCTTTAAAGAAAAAAAAAACATTTGAATTTGTTCTTGACAATAAAGACAGTTATCCAAACATTTAAAAATGATCCCGTTCTGTCAACAGAAGTCTTTTCTGAGAAGCACTTCTGTAATCACACACACACACACATAAAAGTTCTCCCAGTTTCCCTTAGGAGTGGAGAAGATCACTTCAGCCTTGACACCAAAACTAATAAAAACAACGGCTCCATCCTCTCCTTCTCTGGGACCACTCCAACCCTCCTGAATATGTGCTTGTCAGACTATATCTGTTTTCCTCCTCCCATCTCCCTGTACATCTCTATCTAATCATTTCACTCTCAGTGGACAATTGTTGTGAGCACACACACACCTATACACACACACACACACCATATATACTGTCTATGGCTTTTCACTGAGATAAAATTGCTTTTCATGAACCCCACAGCACACCACTGCAGCCATCAGTAAACCAAGACGCAGCAGCGTGAAGCACAGGCTGAAGTGTTGTCAAGGATTTCAATTCACCACGATGAACGCGATGACTATATTAGGCTCTTTTCAAAGTTGGTCGACCGTAACAGCAACTCTTCAACTAGTTCAGCGGTTCCCAAATATTCTGTCATGCTCCCCCAGGGGACAGAAATATTTTAACACCCCCCCCCCCCCCAATTGAGATCCAATTGAGAACCTGATATGTTTTTTCTTATCTGTACAAACCACTGTATTAGTTGCTGCCACCTGGTGGCCGGAGGCTTTTATCATTCAAGCGTTATCACAGCAGCACACTTCTGTCCAGCGTGCCATTATCACAGCACACTTAGCACACTTAGCACACTTCTGTCCAGCGTGCCATATTCCATCGAAAACCTCTCATGTCCAACCACCTCCTATTTGGGAGGTACTGGATTAATTAAATGTTAAAAAATTCAGGGTTTATATATATACTGTATATATATCACTGACTTGTGTAAATAGTGTTATAAGGGGAAAGTTTGAGTGCCATAGTTTGACATCCACTGACCTAACAAAGAATTACCTTAGTGGAAGAAAATGTGTTTATACAAATATGGGAGCCTCCTCATCCGAGTGGGAATCTAAATCCTTTTTGTAACACTAGAGGGACACAAAGCATGCAGTGGTACACGGGCCATAGTTTGAGAACCACTGACCTCACAAACAATTACCTTCTTTAGGAAGAACGCGAGTTAAACAGAAAAAGACAAATAATATTGTCTAACAACGCTTGTAAACTTGGCCGCCTTTCATGGAGCTCTCTCCTCTGACTGCTCCTCCTTTGTGTCAGATTTATGTGCTCAGTGGTTTGGGGATTACCTCTGAAAAAAAAACAACAACTAATTGCCGCTGCCTTCTGACACACCACTCTCCTACCAGAACCTGATCTCTCTAGAACACGTGTCAAACTCAAGGCCTGGGGGCCAAATGTGGCCCACTGGACTTAAAAAGCATTTAGTAAAGTCCATGCAGCAGAGTTTCTTAACCTGAGAAATTAAAAGTGTTTTGTTTTTTTTAATCACAGCAATGAACAATATTTGTAGCTTGAATAAATATAAATCAATTGCAGAAACATGTATTAGTCTGTGATGGAGTAGTTCCATCTATACCAGTGGTCCTCAACCTTCTTTGTTCCAAGGACTGGTCAGCCAGTACCACCTGTTACTACAGACTGGTACCAAGGTGCTGAGC